TCTCTCTCTCTCTCTCTCTCTCTCTCTCTCTCTCTCCTCCTCCTATTCAACCCACCTAACACCACGAAGACTTCCTCGGAGTCCACAATTCGACAGGACAACCGTTATGCAGCACACACAGTAGAATTATCAAGCTGTTTTTTTTTTCGCGGACCCCCCCTTACGTGACACTGCTTTCCTCTTCTTCGCCCCTGCTCTGCTGCCATCCCTTTCCGCCTGTCTGGCCTCCATCCGTTCCTGTCTCTCCTCAGCTCTCGCCTTCTCGTCCAACATACCTTGATATTTCTCAACCCAGCGAGGCTTCGACAACCTATCCACCGGTCTAATGTCCCTGACCTGGATCGTCACCCTCTTCGAATGGATGACCACCTCGTTGGTGTTCTCGAAATTGGCGACCAGGTACGCCTCGGTAGCCTCCATCAAAGCACGCACCTCCGTCATCTGAAACCTCACGCCCATACCCGGAGCAATGTCCCGCTCCACAACCTCGCGCACGAGACGCAAGAACGGCCTGAAAGCCAAGCAAAGGTCGGTGGATCGTTGCAACTTTATGATTTCCGACAAAGTTGCCAACCCGGGGCGTCGACGGCGTCTGGGGACCTGAGTTCGTGCACCTGCGGTGTCTCCGGTCCCTGGCACCGCCTTCGGGTTCACCTTGTTTTTGCCTGCGGGCGTCTGCCCACGTGGCAGTCCCGACGTGCACTTCTTCTTCTTCCCCGGGCTCTGCGACATCGCGACATCGCTCGGCCCGCCCATGTCACCCTGTGCTGCAGAGCACCCCTCGACGCGACCGGGACCACATGGGCCCTCCACCTCAGCAGACAAGCGGAAAATTTATGAGCGTTTCTCTGTCCTCTTGCCTGCCTGCGCTGAACCTGCCAAGCCATTCTCCGACAGATACCGAATATCTCGCAGGAGTCCATCCGAGTAGGTCAGATGGAAAGGCGCACCAAGCGGGTCTCTGAATCTCATGGTGACGTCTCCACCATGCTCATATGCCATGGGACATACGACCGGGACCCAACCAAGAACGGTCGTGCAACCGTGCCTGCGGCGAATGCGAGCCGTATATTTGTTCTGACCGTCGGCGTGCTCTTGGGCCGTACAACTCCCCTCAACCATGGACCACATCCCGTGGTCAGCAATGGAGTCATAACCCGCGCACACCATCTGACGCTTCTCCTCCCTTATCTTCTCCCAGCACCGCTTTGCGTGTTCAACCACCAGCACGTGGTCCTTTACATTCATATTGAAAATTGAGACACGTGCCAGAACCACGAGGAACTGCCAATGCTCCACAATGCCTGCATGCATCCATCCCAATGGGAGCCAATGCCCTGATTGCAGTCTTGCTGCCATCGTCACCTTGCCATCAACCACTGCAGGATGCAAACATCCTGGGACCCAATTGACACGATAGCCATACTTTTCAGGGGCCATATGCTGCTGCAACTGTCCTTCAGGGATGACACGGGCCCCACTGTCCATGGCAGATAAAACGTCACTCCTCATTGTGACATGGTCCCATATCTGTGAGCATACTCCATCATACGTGGCTTCCTGCCCTCTTGCATGCGTGTATGTGCTGCCATCCTCACCAGTGAAAACTTTCCCTTCAACCACCTCCGAGTCCACAGGGTTCCGAAGCGGCGGGAAAAAGCAGCCAGCAGTATGGGTAGTACATGCCATTGCCTTTTCTCTTTTTCTGAGACCTCCCTGTCGAGGTGCCTGAGGGAGAAGTTGTCATTCATATAATGCGTGCTCCAGACATTTCCCATGGCATCATGCATCATCATCCTCACACGATGGAATCGGGATCACACATGGCACCCAACCCCACCTAGGATCCCTCCTCGTATCGCTCTCGTGGCACGCCGTACTCCCTGTTGCGTCGTTCCCGCCAATCACCCATGCCTATCCGCAATCAAAACTGTCGTACAAAAAATCGTTCAGCCTGAACTTGCCCTGCTTCTCCAGAACACGCCACATGTCCAATGCATATCGCCCTTTCACCTCTGCTGTTGCCCCATCGTTCAACCTTAATACTCTGTGAAACACGATTGCCAGAGTCATGTTTCGCCATGTATTCATTTTGGGGGCAGGAAATGGAACCCATGTCCCTTCGACTTTGAACGCAAAGCAAGGTGCTCCTCCAACAATACCCGATTGAACACGACCCGACACCTAATTGATGTCATATGGGTACTCTTCTCCTGCTGATGTCTTCAACACATTTTCATCTTTCACAATACACCTTGTCAGAGATTCTCTGCTTCCCATACCTCCCTCCTCTCTCTCTTCCCCAACCGTTTCCGTCTCACAAGTGCTCCCTCCTGCACCATTCTCTGTTTCATCACCATCACCCATCATCTCTGCAGTCTGTGCACATATTGTCGCAAGCACCTTTGCACAGTCTGCGTTGTTCCCTCCAGCCGAATTCCCTTCCTTGCTGACATCTGCAAAACCCTTCAGAATGTCCTCCGTCTCCATGGCGCATGTCTCTCCACCGTTGACAGTCGTTGCAATCGCAGGTTCCATCTATTGCATGAGACACCACATACATTTATGAGAACACGTAGCTGCGACATGCCCCCCTCACCAGAGAGAGAGAGAGAGAGAGAGAGAGAGAGAGAGAGAGAGAGAGAGAGAGAGAGACAGGTTCACTAGTGCGGGTCAGAAGGACAACAAACAGCACCGGTGGACACCGATATGGCACGCAGTAGTGAACCACTTGTGTGTTGTGAGGCAAAAAGCAGCAAACATTATGGACATAAATTTACTCTAAGCAGAAAGTAATAATACAGGCAACACTTAAACACACATCATTGTGTGTGTGTGTGTGTGTGTGTGTGTGTGTGTGTGTGTGTGTGTGAGAGAGAGAGAGGGAGAGAGAGAGGTTCACTACTGCGGGCCAGAACGACAACAAACAGCACCGCTTGACACTCATATGGCACGCAGTAGTGAACCACAAGTAGTTGGAAACGCAAAGACGCAGCACCAGCGAGAGGTTCACTACTGCGGGCCAGAACTCCAACAAACATCTCATGCGAGACAGACATTGACCCGCAGTAGTGAAACTTATGCTGTTGGACAGGGAAAAACGCAGCGACAGAGAGCTGTTCACTACTGCCGGCTAGAACGACAACAAACAGCACCGGTTGACACTGATATGGCACGCAGTAGTGAATCACAAGTAGTTGGAAACGCAAAGACTCA